AATGCCAAAGGTTAAAGACAAAGAGAGAATCTTAAAAGCAGCAAGAGAAAAGCAATTAGTTACCTACAAGGGAGCACCCATACGACTGTCAGCTGATTTCTCAACAGAAACTTTGCAGGCCAGAAGGGAGTGGCAAGAAATATTCAAAGTGATGAAAAACATGGAACTACAACCAAGATTGCTCTACCCAGCAAAGCTATCATTTAGAATTGAAGGTCAGACAAAATGCTTCTCAGATAAGGGAAAGCTAAAGGAGTTCATCACCACAAAACCAGCATTACAGGAAATGTTGAAGGATCTTCTTTAACAAGAAGCTAATGAACAAAAGAATCTGATGAACTAAATAGACCCAGAGACATTGATGCATGTAACAGACGATCATATTTCAGAGGGAAGAGGGAAGGGGGTGGAGGGTGGGAAGAGATTAACCAAAGAAGTTATATGCATATATGCATAACCCGTGGACACAGACAATGATGGGATGAAGGCCTGGAGATGGGGTGGGAGTGAAGTGAAGGGGGTCAATTGGGGGGAAAGAAATGGGACACCTGTAATACTCTCAACAATAAAGATAAATTAAAAAATAATAATAATAATGATAATGACCCTTTACCTGAGACAGTCAGCCTACCTAGGTCATCCCAGAACCACAAAGCTTGCACACAAGAATGGCATGTCCATTCCTGGAAATCAGTCACTATTGGTCCACTCAGGAGTATGAATCCAGGCACTGCCTAGCCAAGCCCATCCTTCTGCTTACTTTTCTCCCCTTCAGAGGTGTCTTCCTGCTCTGTCCAAACCCGTTTCTCCTCCCACAGAAAAGTCCTCATTCTGTTACTTTTCTTTCCTCACAATAAAATTTAATGTTCCCGCTCCCCAGAGTATTAGCAGCACAGAACATATTTCTCCTTTTCTACAGTAGACAATGCATATTCTATAGAAAAACTGGCCAACTGACACACTCTGGAGGGTAAAGAGATTCTTTATTATGGTTTGTGGAGTTTCCATTTCCCCAAAGATTTTTCTAAGCACATGAGGAACAAAACCTGTGATTTCACATCAAAACATAAGATGAGCCTATGCTGTGAACGGACCTAGAGGGTATTATGCTAAGAGAAATAAGTCAGACAGAGAAAGACAAACACCATGTGATTTCACTTGCACGTGGAACCTAAAGAACAAAGTGAACAAACAAAATAGAAACAGACTCATAAATACAAAGAACAGACTGACAGTTGTCAGAGGGGAGGGGGGTTGGAGGCTGGGTGAAAAACGTGAAGGGATTAAGCAGTTCAAATTGGTAGGTACAGAACAGTCACAGATATAGATTACAGCCTAGGGAATATAGTCAATAATGTCACGATAACCGTGTTTGGGCTGGGTGAGTACTTGAAGCGGG